GAGAGAGAGAGAGAGAGAGAGAGAGAAGGAAGGAAGGAAGGAAGGAAGATAGGAAGGAAGAAAGAGGAAAGAAACAACAGCAAATTAGATTTAGATCTTAGAGCCTTAGAGCCTTGGCCTACTCAACCTGAAATAGGATGAACATTGAACAAGTGACTTCTGCCCTTTCTGAACTCTGTTGCCTCATTAGAGGCATTGCCTAGTTAGAATGAGACCACTTTCCAAAGGTTTCCTTGCAGATTAGCAGTAACTCTGCCAAACCCTTAGCAGCCCATGACAGGCAGTAATTGTTAAAGGGCAGCTATTACCTTCCAGCTGTGTGTCTGGATGGTACTGTATGTATCTCGTCCTTATTGCATCGTATAATGGAGACATTCTCCCTATTTAACAGAGGACAGCACTGAGGTTGCTAAGTTTGTACATCTTACTAATGATAGGTCTGACCTCAAGCACAACACATTCCTCCCTGTGACTGCTGCCCAGAAGAACTGATGTTTGAGACCATGGTGGGTGCTTTGTTGAGAAGTCTACCCACCTGTTTGCTAGTTCCTTAGCAGGTACCAAGTCATGGGCAAGACAGACCTTCCTTCTCGAATCTTGGCTGCACTCTGTGTACCAGAATGACAAACACCTCCCCTGAATCTGCTTCTGCCCCATTTTCCCCGGTGGTGCATCCTTTCCCGGGTTTTTTAGATCATTTCAGTGGGTGTTTGGGAGGCAGAAGAGTTAAACAAATTCATCTTGCCATCTCTAACCTGAGTTCAGGAACAACAAAGAAACAAACATGGTAATTGGTGTAGTCAAGAGAAATAGCTCCCAGCCCTTGTGTTACTCTCCAAGATTTCCAGTTATCTGAAAATATTAAGCAGAAAAGTCCAGGAATAAATAATTCATTCATTTTTATAATATAGCATTATAATTTCCTATTTTTACTAGTTATTATAGCTAGTTTCAGTGAGCCTAATTTATAAACCTCTCATAGGTACTCATACATAGAAGAAAACACAGTAGATACAGAGTTTAGTACATTAGACTGTTTCAGACATTCATAGGTGTTAGAGGACACATCCCCTGGAGAACAGAGACTACTATACATAGTTATTCCTTTGCTGCCTTGGGGACACTGAGAAGCTGGAATTAGTTTGGGAAGAGATCTATCAGTAAAGAATGTGCTACAAAGGGTTCCACATCCCTGCCATGGTCATGTATTCCACCACCTCAAGAACACACTTGCCATTGCTTTTCATGAAGAAAGACCTATGGAGGCTCCAAGTACAGACTTGAATGTCACCTCCTTCCTTCCCAGCCCTTCCTGGTATGTTCAAAGCAAGTGCAAAGATCTTGAAGATTGGGCATTCACATGACCATGGCAGAAGCAGAGCAAGCAACAGCCATGACAAACATGTTTCGTTTTCTACCAGCTCAAGAGCAGACACCCCCCTCTGCTCATCCCCCAGGCTCCTCCTGTATTCTTCCACCCCAGTTTTCTCTCATTGTCATGGTTTCCTTTCTATCACACATCCAAATGGCTTTGAGAAACGTGAAAGCCAGGGCCTCCTCAAGCTGACCTGACAAGTGATCAGTAGCCACCTTGAGGATCCTAAGTCTTTGTAATCTATCCCTTCAGGGAGAGCTGGGTGAGTCCTAGTGCCTGCTAGTGTGGCCTTGCTCCTGCTCCTTAGGTTGCCATGACCAGTTCGTCAGGAGCCCTGCTTTCAGATCCCCTGGCTTTAGAGTGGGAGCACTGGGCAGTCTTGGAAAGCCCAGGTCTTGTTCCTACAAATATGGCAGTGCCTCACCCTCTGACTTGTTCTTCCCAGCCTGCATCTGGGTCAGAAGTGGCAGAGATGGTCAGGCAGCTGCCAGAAGACACCTAGAGGGGCCTCCAAGAAGAGACAGAAATCAAAAAGCCTTAATGTTCTGTGTGCTCATGAAGACAGAAGATTTGGTGGGCACCATGGTTACTGGTTCTCAACCTCACAGGTCCATCTACCTGGAGAGGTTTTCCAAGCAAGCAGATGCTGGAGATCAAATTCAGGTCCTCATGTTACTCATTGCTAGCACTCTATTGGCTGAGCCATCGCTCCTATGCCCCAAGAATTTATTATTTATTACTCAGTTTTTCCATCTCTACGGCCTTTAAGTATTTGAAAGGGCCATGGAGCTTTACAGCTCTCACCTGCCAAAGCCCCATGAAAGCATGCTGTAGATGACTGTTAATGAGTTCCCAGAAGATGCTGATGTTTCTGGGCACCACAGCCTGAGAACCCTTGGCCTAGGGTCAGTGCTTCCCAAATCTAATAATTCCTACAATTGCCTGCAGAGCCTGTGGCTGTGCCTTACTCCCAGATGCTCCAATTCAGTGGATTTGCTTCCACAAATTCCAAAGGATGATGATGCTCTTGATGCATGAACCACACTGAGTACCACCCTGTGCTCAGCATGAGCAGCTGGTGCCATTTCTGTCAGCTGCAGCAGAAGTGAGCTGTGGTATGCCAACTTGTTCCCATGTAGACCTCTCACCTCTAACATAGGAAATGTCCACCTTTTCCACACCTTTTGTTCTCTCAATCAAAGAACTATTATGGGAATTGACTATGTCATTAACAGAAACTTTAAGCTCTGATGGTTTTGTAAAGTAAATTATTCATAAATTCCAATATTTTATTCAAAACACCTATGAATGATAGCATCCTGGAGATTTGTTCACATTAAAAAAGAAAAACAGAGAGAAGACAAAAGCCAGTTTTTGTCAAACCTTTTAGATCCAGGTCTTACAGGATTCTCCACTGAGTTCCAGTGGCAATATTCCACAGCAAGGCATTTTAAAATTCAGTATCAATATAGCTTTTTGAGGCTCCAGAACAAATGTTCAAATTGTCCTCTAACCTAGAAAGAGATACTTGGAATAATTTTAAAGTAAAATTTAAGGCATCTTAGTTTTCCTTCTAAGACCACAGGTTCTCAAACTTTAAGGCCATCCATTCCAAGTATCCTCAAACAGAGAGCATCCAAGTGGCCACCAACTCTTGCCTGTCTACCTTCAGTGAAAGAGTACTCAACTTACCACCCATGTTTGTAGAGCTATTAGAATGTGCCCCCCCCCCCAACACACATGGTGCCAGATTGTGGAAGCACACTTGGAGATGATAATATTCAGGGGACTAGGAATAATTCCTTTCACCCTTGCTTCTAAATTTCTGATTAACAAATCTGGAGAAACTATGAAACCTGGTTCCTAGTAGACCCTGTTCTAGCACCACTGTGCTGTGAGCAACCCAGAACCTCACATGCTATCCCACTGGGCTTCTGTACCACCGCCCAGAGTGGCTGGTGAATAATGCCATCAAAAGGTAGGTTTTTCTCCTACCTGCTGCAATAGGGACTATGGAAACTCGAGAAAACAGATGATTGAGACAGTTTCAAAATGCATGGGGAGGACTTATTTGTTGAAAATAACAAGAGATAAATAGTTGACATAAGTCTGAAGACAAACTGTGGCCTTTCACGATTTCCTTCAAGTCCAGCACAAAGGTTCTATTTTGTCTTGCTGTAAATGAAATGCAAAGCCACAGTCTCCAGACAGAAACAGCATTGATGGCAGGGGTGGGAGGCCACGCTGAAGTAGCTTTCTTGTTTCTCCCACAGACACCAAGGTCCATGTTCAAGCAATTGGATGTCAAAGGCAAGCACTCCTCAGGCCGCACTCAATTTCTCGTCACATTTTTGGAATCTAGTCTAAGATACTAAATTTAAACACAAAGGAGTGATATTGCCCTGGAATGTGGCAAAACTGTGGCAAGGACTGTGTTCCTTAGATTGTTAGGGCCTCTGCTGTTACTTATGAAACCAAGACAGCAGTGAATTCTGGCCCTGCTTCTTTTAGGGAGTGTCTTTGTTAGGGTTTCTATTGCTATGATGAAACACCATGACCACAAACCAACTTAGGGAGCAAAGGGCTTATGTGGTTTACAGTTCCATATCACTGTTCATCACCGAAGGAAATTAGGACAGGAAC